CCCCCCCCCCGCCCCTCCCCTGGGTGTCTCAGGACAGTGGCTGGGCCGAGGCAGGGGCTGGAGGGCAGGCCGGGGCGGCCTGAGCCATGAAGCAGCTTGTCCAGGCTCACCCCTCCCGTGCCACAAGTGTCTGTGCTTCTGGAGGGAGTCGGGGCCTCCTGGCGGGGGGGTCGTAGCCTCAGTTCAAGGGCCTGGGATGGAGTCTGGTCTGACAAGGACCGAGGGGCACAGAGCCATTCGGGGCGTTTCCCTGGCCGCTCCGGGGCTGGCCGCCACACTCCTCCCTCAGTCGCTGCTGCCCCGGTGGCCTCGGCCTGGAGCACCCACCAGGTGGCGGTGAGGATCGGAGTGGGGGGGCTCCTGCTCTCCGCCAGTCCCCGTCTGTGAGCTGTGCCAGCCCCAGAGGTGAGGAGGACCAGGGCTGTTCAGGGCAAGGCACCCGGTCAGCCGGACAGAACAAGAGTTTGACGTCCTTGGGACCCCGCGCAGCTGTCCCTGGGGCTCCTGGGCCCTGCTGCAGCCGATGCAGCAGGGCGTGGATTCTGGGGTTACACCCGGCCAGAAAGAAAGCGACTCCCCATCAGTAAATGGCGGAGTCCCCGCTGCGGGCCGGCTCTCCGCCCCAGCCACCCCTCGGGGTGCATCCGTGTCAGCCTCGGCCCGGGCCCTCGCAGGAGCAGGGCGGATGACGCAGTGGGGGCCAGAGTCCGGGCTCGGTACCGACAGTGGGGAGACCGCAGAACCGGGGGCGCCAGCCTGGGACCGTGGCGGTCCCGGGGGCTCTCGGCCGGCACGGCCCAAGCGCAGCACAGCCACGGGGGCTTCCTGCCCCCTCCCCCTCGGGGCTCCCTCTTGGCACCCACCACGACCTCCCCACAAAGGTTGAACTTTTGGTGAGGGGAGGGGCCTGGGGAGTAATCCTGCCTCCTTTCCCAGACAGATGGACAGACGGATGGACACAGGGTTGTTGGTCCAGCCCGATCCGAGCGGTGGCCGCCTCAGACCCTCGCCTCCTCCCTGCACTTCCCTTCTCGGTAAACAAGGGCGACACAGGCCCCCCAGGCTGTAGAGCAGGTAGCTGTGTGTGCTGCAGGGGGGCTCCCCCAGCCCACCGGGCGGCCCCACACTCACCCCAGCACCGCCTGCTGGTACAGCCAGTGTGACAGTGGCTCCCACCCAGGCCCCACTGCCCCACCGTGCAGCTGGTCTGACGAGGGCCAGTGTGGAAGGCTCCGGAAGGGCTGGGGACTCCAGGAAGCAGGAGGCCGGGCCAGCGGCTGCCCTCTTCTGGGCCGAGCCCGTCTCCTGCACACTCCCATGTGACCCATGTGGGGACCCGGTCAGCCTCAGCCTCTGCCTGGTCAGAGTCCCTGCTCCTGCGCCGGGCGAGGGGGCAGTTCCTTGGACCTGAGTGCCCGCTGGTCACTGCCCGCACCAAGCCGGACAAAGTAAGATGCCAGCTGAGGGCACAGCATGGACTCCTGCACACTTGGGAAGGGCCGCCCCTCTCCTAGACCCTTACCGTCCTTGGCCCGGGCCCACGCCCTCCCAGGGACTGCCCGGGTGCGGCGGGGCATGCGGCCTCCCTCTCGGAGATCCGCCCCACGAGGGCCGCCTGCCCCCCGGCCCTGTGCCCCTCACTCTGGCTGTCCTGCCGCTTGCTGGTGGCCGGGGCAGAGATGGCTGTCGGGGGGAGCCCTGGAGTCCTGTGGCCAGTGGTGGCACGGGCCGGTGGGCCAGCTCAGACCGTGGAGCAGGGCGGGGAGGAGACACTTCACTGACCCTCTGAGCTGGAGGTGTCGGGCTGGGCCCCAGAGAGGTGGGCTTTGGAGGTCAGAGCCATGGGCCACGTCTAAGCTCTGAGCTGGCGGGGGTGGGGGGGGTCGTCTCTGGGCATCTGTCTGGGGTTTCAGTGTCAGGGTGTAGTGAGGTAGGTGCCTGAAGTGGGAGCACCGCCGAAGAGGCGTGGACTGGGGCCGGGTGGGCCTGGCCTCACCTGAGAAGTGGGGGAGCGCCCCTGGTTGGACGGGCATCCCAGCCTGGAGCCCCGCCCCACGGAGGCACCTGCCACCCTGCCTAGCGGGCCCCCCCCACCCCCGCCCAGTGTGCCTGGCACACAGCAGGCTCCTCGTTTAAAGTACAAATGAGCCCCCTAAGTGGACAGGGCATGACCCTGGACCCTGCTGTCGCTGAGCCCCGGAAGAAACGGGAGTGGACGAGACCCTGTCCCGGGCTGAGCGGCGGGGGCAGGACAGAAATGACCCATCCAGCTGACATTCTCTGTGGGATCACATGTCAAGGACCCAGTGGCTCCACGTGGCACAGGACAGGCAAGGGTGGAAGGGTGGCTTCCTGCCGGTAGATGAGGTGCATGGGGCAGGGTGTCAGGCGGCCGCCGAGGCTGCCTCGCCCCCCTCCCCCCACACCACCACCGCAGCCGGGCTCCCTGCTGACCTCAAACCTGCTCCCGCCTGGCCTGGCCCCTCCCCCTGAGGGGCGGACGGGGACATGCTTCCCACCCCAGAAGCCAGCTGACTGATGCTGTAAGTCTCCCGGGGCTCTCCTCCTTTGGCCGAGTGGGAGCAGCTTTGGGGTCGGGGGAGCCGAGGGCGTCCGCCAGCCCCCTGGGCAGCAAGAAGCCGGGGCCTCCGTTCCCCAGACTCCAGGAAATGGCCCTGCTGACCACCCACTGAGCTGCAGGGGTCCGTCCACGGAGGGAGGGACTGCACGTGACCCCACCTGGGCTCTGCGAGACCCGAGCACAGACACAGAAGACACGTGGGCTGAGGGGCTAGACGTCGAGTGACTGTTCCTAACAGCAGGAAACACTGACACGCTGTAATTCCCTAGTGTGTTACCGTGTGGCTAGTTTTCTGCTCGCTGCCTGCGAGGACACTGTGACGGTAGTGTTCTCTACACGGTCTGCCGGACGGTCGTGGCGTCTGTCCCTCCCCTCGGATGTGGACAGGCCGCCGCCACGCCTCCACCAACCGTGCAGTGAGGGACTCACAAAATCGCCTGGCACAACCCCCCGGCTCTCTCGGGCCCTCTGGGAACCAGCCTCCTCCCTTCGAGGAAGCCCAACCAGCCCACTGGGCGACCGTGCGGCGACCCCGCGGGAGCCGAGCCAGCCGAGGCCGCCCCGTCCTGCCAGGCGTGAGCCCAAAGATGCTGCCGGTGGCTCCAGCCAGCAGCTGTCCCCTCACCCCCTGCTTTCGTGTCCTCCCAGCCGCCAGGGTCAGAGACCAGCCCTCTCACGCCTGGGACAAACCCAGGAAACACAGCCCACGAATGTGGTGAAAACCTGCCTTGTGTCGTCACCCTCCAGCGGGCTTGTTTTCAACCAGAGATCTCTGGGCCGCCTTCCTGATGGAAGATGCCCCCGGGGCCATACAGCAGGTACTCAAGGAGTTGTAGGGTAGCATTTATTTGTTTGAGTTTATTTATTTGTTTTGAGAGAAAGAGAGAACATGGGAGGGGCAGAGAGAGAGGGAGAGAGGGAATCCTAAGAGCCTGATGTGGGGCTCGATCCCACAAACCGCGAGATCGTGACCTAAGCTGAAGTGAAAAGTCACTTAACTGACTGAGCCACCCGGGCGCCCCTGGGGTGCATTTAACGATGAGCCGCGCGGTGGTCCCCACGGAAGTCCATTGCTTCAAGCACTGATTGTCTGGTGGGTGTGAGGCCCTGAGAGGGCACGGAGGTGTCAGACGGGCAGAGAAAGAGGCTTTTCAGGAACCACACGGAACCGGTGTCTCCTCTCCCGGCTGCGGACGGGCCGTTGAAGGGACCGAGAGGACAGCACGCCCGTCCGCTTTCTCTGTGACAGGTGGGAGGGCGGGCCCGGGTCCTCAGGGACTCGGCCCCCAGCCCCGGCTGTGAGTGCCCTCCCGGTCCTGAGGGGGGAGCAGCAAGCTTGGAGGCTGCTTGCTACCTGAGCAGCAAAGGCCAGCACCTTCCCCGGGCTGAGGAGCCCATCACGCCCATTCTGCGCGGCACCTGCAGGCGTGAGCCCTTCAAAGCCTGTGTGCCGGGACTCTGGGTCACTTCCCCACCCAGCCTGACTGTGACTAACCAGCGGGAAGAGGGCTCTGCTGAGGCCACACAGAGGTCAGGGAGCAGACCGAGAAGGTGGTAAGAGCCCCAGGAGCGGGCAAGAGCTGAGGGCAAGCCTGCTGGCCCAAAGGACTTCTAGAAAGCTAGTCTGACCCCAAGGCCAAATCCAGGGCTGGGGAGCTTGCCCAGTGCCTAAGCCAGTCAGGGACATAGGTGCCCTGCTTGGCCCCAGGAGCCTCTCCCCCGGGGCAGTGAGTGAATGAGTGGGGGCAGGCGTGACCGAGAGCCGCACGCCTCGTGAAGGGGTCTGGTCTGTGTTCAAGGGCCCAGCATCCTTGAATATCACATTTGGGGGGCTGGATGTGGGGAAAACTGTCCCCGCTTAGCTGGACTTGGTGATGGCTGAGTGTGGGCCTCCCTCTGAACACCGGGGGGCTTTCAAGGGAGGCCCAAACCCTGCAATGCCTCTGGCAACCCGTGTAACCCGGAGCCCGAGCTCCCAGCCACTGGCTGAACCATCCCTGCAGCGATGGGAGGACCCTCACGGTCTGCCTGGCCCTGCCTGCCCAGCAGAGCCCAGCGAGCCCTCCCTGGAGGACGATGGGAGCAAGAGGAAGGGGTGAGCGGTGTCCTTCCGGCACAGTGGGGATGGGCCACCCCATGACATCTTAGGAAGTGGGGTTTCACTCTCAATTGTACGAATTTTTGTTACTATAAACTAATACACGTTTATGCCTGCAACAACCTAAAAAGCAAGCTGCCCTGGGGACTTCCTGCCCAGGTCCTTCCAGAATTTTCTTTCTACGCACAGATGTTAATATTCAAGATTGAATTTGTTCATTGTATAAGTCCTATAACAGCCGTATAGCAGTTGGGGGGTGGAGGGGACAGAGCGCTCTCGGTCACGTCGCAGCACGGCGCGTGTGCCAAGGACCGCTCTCTGCTTTGGGGGCGCGCACAGCCCCACAGCCTGGGGCAGCCGGACGCACCTGCGCCGCGGGCCCGGGTCCTCGGCCCGGCGCCCAGCCCGCGCCGGCACGCGCTCTTCTTCCCCACCTGCGCCGCGCACCCTCCGAGCCGGGTGTCCCGCGATGGAGCCGCCGAACGGAGATGCCAGCAACTTTGTTGACTAAATTCCTGAACCCGCCCGAACCGAGGGGCTAAAAATAGCCGGCACTCCCCTCGCCGCGCCCGACCCGGCCGCGCAGTGGCACCGGTGTCGGCAGGCCAGAAGGTCCAGGCGCCGCCACGCTATCGGGGCTGCGGGGTCACGGCCCGCGGGGCGGAGGGGAGACCGAGGCACCGAGGGGCCTCGTCTGCTCCCCGAGACTCTCCGGCCTCCCCGTCGCGGGTGCGAGGCCCTGGAGGCCGCAGGCCGGGCCCCGCGCGGCCCGCGCTCCGCGTTCTCTGCACCCCTCTGCCCCGCGCCCTCTGCGCGTGCAGTGCCCCCCGGTGACCACCAGAGGGCCCTGCCCCCTCCTCTCGCCGGCGGCCAGTCAGCACCCCTTCCCACAGCTGTTCCCCGCAGGAGATTGACAGCTGGGCTCCGGGTTGCCATGGGGATAGGCAAATGAGGGAGGCGGGTCCGGGGCTCCGATTGGCCTGGGGGCTCGCGCCCCGCCCAGAGAGGCGGGACCGAATGCCCTGCTCTATAAAGGGGAGCGCGCGGCGCGGCGCTCAGCCGTGGAGGCGGGGCCGGTTGTACGCGGGCGGAGCGCGGGGAGCCCGAGCAGCCAGAGGCGGCGGCCGCACCGCCACCCTCCCGGCCGCCCGCCCGGCCGCCGACGCGGGCACGAAGAGCGCGGCCGGCCGGCGCCACCCCGCCCCGGGGTGCGGCCGGGGCCG